ATTATTATTATTTCTTAATTTGATCAGAGAGAGACAGAGAGAGAGAAAGGGAAAGCGTGAAAGCAAGCTGCCCGGTCCAGGACTCAAACTGCGGTCAGCCATGTAGGAATCCAGTGCCCCTAACTACCACGCCACTTGCTGGCTCCCATGTTTAGTGTTTTTATTACCACGAAAAGGGAAACATTTGGGGCTGATAGACACGTTTGTTACTGAACTGAACGAGGTACAAACCGGGAGCGCTCACTCATAGCCTGGAGGGCCAAACTGATCCACGAGATGTGTCGAGGTGGCGGCTTAGTAATGGCGGGCATCACCCAGGGATGGCGAGGTCTGGGAACAGCCCATCCCCATCCCGTTACGATTGTAGTGTTGAAAGGTGGGGCTCTGGGGAGGTGATTAGGGTCAGGGCGGTGACCTGACTGAGTTCTGGTGGGTTTATAAGGCCGGGAAAGGGGACAGACATGTCTGCTCTGCTCAAGCTCTCGGCCTCCATGTGTTGTGATGCAGTGACAAGACCCTCACCAGATGCGGCTGCGGAGGCTGGACCTCCAAACTGTGAACTGAAGAAAAACTTTCTTGTAAGTTACCCAGACTCAGGCGTTTCTGTTACTAGCAGCTAAATGGACTAGAACAAAAGGATTTCTTTTTCTTTTCTTTCTTTTTTGGAGAGGTTTTCGCTGTAGGGCACGTGTGCTCACCAGAAAGACAGAGAGACAGAAAGTGAGAAATCACCCCCCTCCCCCGTTCCCCGCCAGGGGTGATGGCCACGCTGCAATCCCTTCTCCTCCATTCTCCTCTCGGGATCTTGGGCACGCACGCACATGCACCTAGCGTGAGTTTAACCTGCCGGGTCCGGGTCTCGAACCGCGATCAACTACATGGGAGTCCAGCGACATAGCCATTACACTAACTGCTGGTCCCCGGGAACCGTTCTTGATTAGTTTAATTGATTGAATTCCTCTTAGGGAACTGTATTTTCCTGCTGTTTCACCTGCCTGCCTGGTCATTTTTGACTGGAAGCTAGACATTTGTTGATTTGATTTTGGTCGGGGCTGAGTATTTAAATATACCTTTAGTCTTGAGTTTTGTCCTGGGACTCAGTTACTTAAAAACAGTTTTATCCTGGTCAACTTTTCAGATTTGTTAGGTCGGGCTGCTCTGAAGCTGTACCTAGTCTAAGCCTAATTATTCCTCACTACTGAGACAAGATTCTATTCAGTCTTCCCACTGTCCTCTGAATCTTGAAGTTTTTCCAGTCTGGAACTGTTTCCTGCCCTGCGTGAGCACTGTCTCCTCTAATCCTTCTGAACAGTTCTTTCCCGCCTCAGGTAGTTTCCTCACAAACTACACTGGTAAGATCTTCAGGGCCAGCAGGTGGCATAGTGGTTAAGGGCGCTGGACTCCCACATGGCTGACTGCAGTTCGAGTCCCGGACCTGGTGGCTTGCTTTCTCACTTTCTTTCTCACTCTGTCCCTCTCTGGTCAAATTAAAATAAATAAATAAGTTAAAGAAAATAATTCTTAAAATAATAATTCTTCAGGGTTCTGTTTAGCTCCCTCTTCTTTGGTCTTTTGTCCAGTGGACCCTAGCTGCTTTGGTCTCCCTGGACTCTCAGCACCTGCCCTCAGCCCCAGGAGACTGTGTGGCCTCTTGCCTCGGTTCTACCCCTGGATCTTGATTCTTCAGTTGTGAGGCTCATGGCATTTCTTTCCTATTTCTCAGGTCCTTTGTCACCTGCTGTCCAGTGTCTTCAAATCCATTGCTTTGTGGTTTTTGCTATAGGCAAGTACACTTGCCAGAAAGACGCAGAGAGACAGAGAGACAGAAAGCGAGAAATCACCTCCCAGAGGGGATGGTCACGCCGCAATCCCTTCTCCTCCATTCTCCTCTCGGGATCTTGGGCACGCACACACATGCGCCCGGCGTGAGTTTAAGCCACCGGGTCCGGGACTTGAACCGCGGTCGGCTACATGGGAGTCCAGCGACATAGCCATGACGCTAACTGCTGGTCCCCAAATCCATTGTGTCATGTAATTTGGTTTTTTTTTTTTTGGTGATTCTATGCAAGAGGGGTAAATCTCAATGCTTGGCTAGATACAAGAAATTTCACTTTTTTTAAATGATTGATTTGCAAAAGTTCTTTCTGTGTTCTGGGTATGGGAGTCCTTTGTTGGCTAAATATGTGGCCTGCTCGTTTTCTCGATGATATCATTTGGTGAGCAGAATGTTTTATTTGGTGAGCGGCAGTTTGGGATGATATCATTTGGTGAGCAGAATGTTTTATTTGGTGAGCAGAAATTTGTCTCCTCTTTTACAGTTGGCTCCTCTGGGTCTTATCTCAAAAGCCTTTGCCTACCCTAAGATCTTGACGGTGTACTCCTCTGCTTGCCTCTAGAATCCTTCTGATTTGGGGTTTTATGTTTTGGCCTGTGATTTATCTCCAATTCGTTTTTCGAACATGGTTTGGTGAGCAGAATGTTTTATTTGGTGAGCAGAAATTTGTCTCCTCTTTTACAGTTGGCTCCTCTGGGTCTTATCTCAAAAGCCTTTGCCTACCCTAAGATCTTGACGGTGTACTCCTCTGCTTGCCTCTAGAATCCTTCTGATTTGGGGTTTTATGTTTTGGCCTGTGATTTATCTCCAATTCGTTTTTCGAACATGGTACGAAGTAGGGGTTGAAATTCACCCCCTTACACTGACCCTCTCTTTACTTCCGGCAACATTTATTAAATGGCTGTTCTTTTGCCTGTTTCATTATTCTGCAACTTGGTTCCAAGTCGGCTGAGCATATACACGTGGGTCTATTTCAGACTCTCTTGTGTCCCACTGATCTGTGCGTGTGTCTTTTTATTTTGTTTTGAGTTTCTTTCTTCTATAAGGGAGAGATACAGAGAGAGCTTCAGACAGTCCCAAACCATGGGTACATACACTGCAGTGTTCAGGGAGGTCTCTAGATGCGAACCCAGAACCTCCCCATGTGAAGTCAGTCTCACAGAGCATTGTGCTCCTGCGATACTGCCATCCAGCCCAGTCTTTGCATGTCTTGATGCCACCACCACAGGATCTGCAGTACGCTCACGTTGGAGAAGTCTCACAATCAGGTGGTGTGAATCCTCCGTCTCTGTCCTTCACAACAGTCTGGCCATTCCAGTTCCTTTATGTGCGCATGTGCCACTTTGAGTGAGTTCGTTAATCTCTGTAAAGCACAAAACCTGCTGGGATTTGACTGGGAGGGTGTTGAATCTACTGCTCATTTGGGGAGACATGTCTTCCTTTTTATTTTTTTTTGGAGAGGTTTTTGCTATAAGGGCACATGTGCTCACCAGAAAGACAGAGAGAGACAGAGAGACAGAAAGCGAGAAATCACTCCCCAGGGAGGGCCACACTGCGATCCTGTCTCCTCCATTCTCCTCTCGGGATCTTGGGCACGCACGCACATGCGCCCGGTGTGAGTTTAAGCCACCGGGTCTGGGACTCAAACCATGGTCAACTACATGGGAGTCCAGCGACATAGCCATTATGCCATGTGCTGGTCCCATGTGTCTTCTTAACAATATTGTGTCTTTCAAGGTGACCTTGGAACCCCTTCCTTAAATCAGGTCACCTCAATATCTCTCACCGGCTCCCTGGCTTTGGATGTCACCCCCTTTTTATGAAATGTTTTCCGAAACTTGATTTTGTTTTGTTTTAGTTTTGCAATAGGGCACATGCACCTGCCAGAGAGGGGGAAAGTGAGAAATAACCCCCCAGGGGGGATGGCCACACTGCAGTCCCTTCCCCTCTAATCTCTTCAGGACTTGGGGCACACACACACACACGCACATGGCATGGTTTTCAAGCCTCTGGGTCAGGGACTTGAACCATACGGGCAACCTTGTGGAATCTAACACCTTAACCTGCTGACCCTTTCCTAAGTTTGTTTGTTATTTGTTTTTTCTTTTAAGTCATACCAATATTTAAAAACAAAAAGACAAAGTAGGGGCATCCCTGTAGCCTAGTAGTTAAGGAAGTCACATCCCACATGAGCAGCCATCTTTTGAATCCTAGAGAGTGGATTGTGGCATGACCATGCCCCATTGGAGAATACTTTCTCACTCTCTCTCTCCTTCACTCTTTCTGTCTCTCTGGGGAACACATGCAACCTCATGCAATTAAAAATAATAATGGGGTGGGACCAGCATTTGGCGTAATGGCTATGTCGCTGGACTCCCATGTAGTTGACCACGGTTCGAGTCCCAGGCCCGGTGGCTTAAACTCAGGCCAGGTGTGTGTGCGTGCCCAAGATCCTGAGAGGAGAATGGAAGAGAAGGGATTGCGGTGCGGCCACCCCCCTAGGGGGGTGATTTCTAGCAAAAACCTCTCAAAAATTTTTTTTATATTTATATACATATATAGATATAGATATATATAAAATAATGAGGCCAGCAGGTGCCATGATGGCTAAGGGCACCCGACTCCCACATGGCAGACCACTCTGCTCAAATTAAAAATAAATAAATAAATAAAGTTAAATAATTCTTTTTTTATTTTGGAGAGATTTTCACTGTAGGGCGCGTGCGCTCGCCAGACAGACAGAGACATAGAGACAGAAAGCGAGAAATCACCCCCAGGGGGGATGGTCACGCCCCA